GATTGAATCAGGAGCACACCATTGGTTGTAAAGTCAGAGGAGTCCACTGCTAGGAAAAGCCATTCTAAAGAACAAGAAACCCATGACTTTTACAACCCAACTCATGCGATGGTAGAGAGTCTGGTTTCCACTTTCATGTTGACAAAAGTCATGTAAAGCAATGTAAAAATGTGACAAATGTTACCAACCATTGTCTGTGCATACTTCAGTCATGAGCAGAGCCTTGGATATCCTTGAGAGAACAGAACAGAGATGTGGTACCTAGGTCCCCAGGGAGAGGGAGAGTTGATTCTTGGGATGCTATTTGTTTCTTGGACACAGAGTCTAACCAAGGACAAAGGCCCGTGTCCTCTAGAATTTTGGACTAAGTCACAAAACATTTTATTTTAAAATTTCTAATACTTTTATCCAACAAATAAAATGCCACTGAACTTTTTTCCCCAAGTTTTTGCACACTGAAGGAGGTCAACATTCCCAGCCTCATCTCTTCGCTCTCCTCCTCCCTCACCTGAAAGAGCTCAACATCCCCAGCCTCATCTCTTCACTCTCCTCCTCCCTCACCTGAAAGAGGTCAACATTCCTAGCCTCATTTCTTCACTCTCCTCCTTGTCCCTCCCTGAAGATGGCAGCCACAGCGTCTACGCACCTCAGTACCTACACACAGGCTACTCCTCTGCTCAGAATACTCCAGAATCTACCCCATCCACTTCTCAGTCATCTTCAAGTTTCTGCTCACATATCACCTTCACTGGAGGCCTTCCCTGACCATCCTATCTAGGATAGAACCCCACTCCTGGTTCCTTTTCCTTTGCATTATTTTTTTCCTTGACACTCATCACCTTCTAAAATTTTCATTTTTTCGTGTGTCTCCCCTCAAGTGTGTAACCTTCATGAAGATCAGGGCTTGGATCTGTTTTGTTCACTGTGATACCCACAGGTCCAAGCATGGTGTCTGCCAGATAGCACTGAATGAATATTTTTCTGGGTGCACACAAGCTTTTCTTCATGTTCTGGTTTTTGTCACTGCTTGCCTCTGCCTTCTAATCTCTTTCCCAGACCTGCTCAAGTCTCACCCCCTAACTAGAAGTGAATTCATTAACGTCACAGCTAGAAGAGAGTCATTTCCAGTCTCCTCACTTGAGAAAACCAGAAAGGCTAACAGCACAGACCCAGGACTTGAACTTGGATGTTATCTTGTCTCCCAGCCATGGCTCTCCCCACAACCCCAGATTCCTCCAGCCTGGTGTGCACCTTCCTTCTTCCCCTGGGTCTGGCCCTCTCTACCTGTATGTGCCATGCCTTCTTATACCTCACCTGAGTAATGCTGAATCCTGATTCTGCCACAAGTTAAGCAAGTGGCCTTGGACAAGTGACTTAACTTCTCTCTGCCTTGGGCTTTTGTCTTCTAAAGGGAAGAGTAACCTTTACCTTAGAAGATGTTCACAAGGCTCAACTAAAATGAAGGGAGCACAGCCCTCTCCTGGCCAAGGCTCAGTGCCTGCTTGTTCCTTTTCCTTTCCCTGGCTTGCGGGGAGATGGTCATTTCCTCAACAGAAACATTAAGTTTCTCAAGGTCTTTCTGTTGTCCCCATCCCCAGGCCTAAGCTCCTAGAAGACAATGAAGAAATCCTTGGGGAATGAAAATGAGTTTTTACGGGAGGATGGCAGGGAGAAGGGCCTCTATAATGTGGGCGTCTCACTATCAGGGCTGGCTCATGGATTCCAGCTGGCAAGCCTGGCACCTTAAGATTAATGATGATGAACAAGGCCTCCAAGAGGCCAGGTAAGGCAACATAGGACATTTTCTGCCTTTCTCAGGAGTCAGCTTGTTGGCAAAACATGTCAATTTCAAAAGTCACCCTCAAGGTAATGGGGCAGGAATCCTGATTTCCTTAGAGACCACCATGATGAGCATTTCTCAAAGTCTGCTCTTCAGTATTTAAAAAGAAAAAAACAAGTGAGGGTGTTCTGTGATTTTTAAACGTTTACAAAATACTAGGTTAAAGAGTTACCCAACTGCATTTACGTAGGACTTCTCAGAGCCTTTGTCAAGTTTATGTGCATTATGACTCTCCAAGAGGGATGGAGGTATATACACGCTGAAACAGTGTCCCAGTGTATTTGGTCAAGATACCCTTTCTTTCCAAGGAGCAGCTGTTATGCTATACCCCACATTCTGGGGAAATCCAGCTCTAGACCAACTCATACTGGGGCATTGAATCTGAGCCTGGAGAAATGAAGTGGCTTAGCCAAGGTTAAACTATGAATGGCAGAAACAGGGCTACAATCCAGTGCCTGCTGTCATTCCCAGTGCTCTCCCTTCTACATGGCACTGAGGTTGGTGAAGGCCTTCGAATCAGACCAGCCCTAGTGACAGAGCCTAGGGTTTTTACTGGAGAAAATAAACTGGCATGAAATGTAACCAGCGAGACAGACTTACTAGAGATAAGAAAGTGTGCATGTGTGTGTGCATGTAAGTGTGTGTGAGAGGGTGTGTGTCCATGTGAGTGTGTGAGTGTGTGCATGTG